GGTCCCATTCCTTGCAACAGAGGCATTCCTCTTCTGTGGGCACTGGGGCACAGCATTCACAGGTACACCACCAATCTCCAGAGCTACGCAGCCTTGCAGCAGCCATTCCTCCTCTCTCGTCCTCTACCTGTTGCGCCTCTCTCTCTCTCTCCTCCTCCTCCTCCGTTCAGGCGACCGTCCGGTTCTGCCTTCCAGCTGTTGCTGCTTGTTCAGGCACGGTATGAGATCACTGCTTGTTCTTGCGATATTTCGGGCCGCGCTTTGGAAAGCAGAGCTAGATGGTAAACAAACATGGCAGCACACCGGTAAGGTAAGACAACACGTTTACATGTCGTTTTCTATATGTTCTCTGACATTTATCCTAACGATATGAGGCGGTCTTTGTGGAGAAAAAGCTTGTTTAGTGGACTAACTTTGCACTTGAAGGTTGCCCGTTCACTTACGTTTTAACAGGTCTGACACTACTATGCGCCTGGCTGTATCTAGGCTAACGGCTAACGGCTAACTATTATCTGTATGTCACTAGTCACTTGAAACAAATTTAGGACGATAGGAAACAGGTTGAAATAAACCGAAATTTCCCTTTAACACACAGCCAATTAGAGACCAGCACGTTGAACAGACTTTCTGTTTTTGTGATGTAAACTTCCTGATGGTGTTTTTGTTTGTGGCTTCTCAGGTATCACCTGGCGACAGGAAGTGGTGATAACACCTGTAAGGTTTGGGAGCTGAGGAACAGGAAGTGTCTGTACACAGTCCCCGCCCATCAGAACCTGCTGTCGGCTGTCCGATTCCAACGTAAATTTATTTACATCTATTATATTATATCTGTTGTTTTTAATTTGATTTTTGATTTTGTTTACTTTGAATTTTATATCCTTTTTTTACATACTTATGTTTGTTTTTTACGACTTGACATCTTTGACTTTATTGTGCAAATTTTATTTTCATTATTATTTGTTTTACAACTAAATTAAATGTTTGTTTTGTTGAAGTTTCTTTGCTAAATTTTTTAAATGTTTTTGTCTTGTTTTATTTGTGTTTATTATTTGTCATCCAATGTTTTTCTCTTTTAAAACTTTTATAAATAAACATTAATATTTTTAAAACTTCTATTTTTGTTAACTTTTTTCCTTTTATTTTCTGATTTTTCTTTTGTCACTTAATTTTGTTTGTCACTCTTTCTTTGGTTAAAAACTTTTTTCTGTTGAACTTGTTATCTGTTTCCTGTTTATGTCTCTGACCTCATTTACTGTTTTTCTGTAGCCACGGATGGTCACTTCCTGTTGACTGGAGCGTATGACAACACAGCCAAGGTTTGGAGTCATCCGGGCTGGACGCCACTGAAGACGCTCGCCGGGCACGAGGGGAAGGTATCAACACTTGGCTGTGATTGGTCCACTCAGATGCTGCTGATTGGTGGACACACCTGGGGTACTTTAACGTGTCACACCTGTTTTCATTTCCAGGTAATGGGCGTCGACGTGTCACCCGACGGAAAACTGATCGCAACCAGCTCCTATGACCGAACCTTCAAACTCTGGCTGTCTGAGTGATGTCATGATGATGTCAGGACTGATGTCATGGCAGCAACACAACACATGACAGAAAGTTTTTGTTTTGTTTTTGTTTTGTTTTTTGAAATAAAGGAAAGACTTCATGTTTCAGTGTTTTTATATCAAATGAAATAAAAGTTCATGTTTTGGAAACTCATCCCTTTTTCATCATCACCATCTATTTAACTTCTGACGCTCTCTGGATGTTTGTTTACATTTTTTAGTTTTCACACACAGATATGAAACTGATGACATAATCAATTCATTGATTGAATGATGGATTTGAAACATGTTAATGTGACGTCAACACATCAAAATACAAAAGGAATTCACAGAAATGTCATACCATGGTACGTCGTCCAGAATCACGATGAAAAACATCGTAGTATAGCATGTCGTCAAAAATCACGAAAAAAATGTGATAGTATGGTATGTCTCCCAAAGACTACGACAAACCGGCATAACGTCCAAAATCACGAAAAAACGTCATACTACAGTATTTCGTCCAAAATCACGACAAAACATCATACTATCGTATGTCGTCCAAAATCACGAAAAAACAGTATAGTATGTCGTCAAAAATCATGAAAAAAGTCATAGTATAGCATGTCGTCCAAAATCATGAAAAAACATCATACCATAGTATGTCGTCCAAAATCATGAAAAAACATCATACTATAGTATGTCGTCAAAAATCATGAAAAAAGTCATAGTATGTCGTCCAAAATCATGAAAAAACGTCATAGTATAGCATGTCGTCCAAAATCACGAAAAAATGTCATAGTATAGCATGTCGTCCAAAATCATGAAAAAACGTCATCATATAGCATGTCATCCAAAATCACGAAAAAACGTCATCATATAGCATCTCGTCCAAAATCACGAAAAAACGTCAGTATGTCTTCATAAATCATGACAGAACGTCATACTATAGTATGTCGTCAAAAATTACAAAATAACGTCATATGTCGTCCAAAATCATGAAGGAACGTCATGGTATAATACGTTGTCCATAATCACAAAAAAACATCGTAGTTTAGTATGTCGTCAAAAATCATGAAAAAACTCATAGTGTAGCATGTCATCAAAAAACATGAAGAAAACATAATGGTATAGCATCTTGTCAAAAATCATGGCAAAACGTAAGAGTATAAAATCTCAAAAATCATGAAAAAAAATTTGTAGTGTAGTATAGCATACCAAAAATCATGGAACAAACGTCATAGTATAGCATGTCAAAAATCACGAAAAAAGTCATAGTGTAGCATGTCGTAAAAAGTCATGAAAAAAACGTCGTAGCATAGTATATTGTCCAAAATCATGAAAAAATGTCATAATATAGCATGTTGTCAAAAATAATAAAAAATGTCATACTGTAGAATGCCTCCAAAATCACGAAAAACCGTCATAATATAGTAAGTCGTCCAAAATCATGTAAAAACGTCATAGTATAGTAAGTCGTCCAAAATCATGAAAAAACGTCATAGTATAGTATGTCGTCAAAATCATGAAAAAAACATCATAGTATAGTATGTCGTCAAAAATCATGAAAAAAGTCATAGTATAGTA